CACCCACCCAAGCAAGTTTCTATGCAGCCTTTCCATTGTGGGGAAGACAGTCAGCCTGCCAAAGCCATGGTGACTTGTTTGGATGTCCAGTGTCACAGAAGGACCCTGGTGTCTTCAAGAGTGGTCAGCCCCTTCCCCTCAGCCCCCACAAGTCTGTTGGGTTAAGGAAAAAGGCAGAGAACATGGAGGGAGACACTGCAGGATGTGGCAGATGGCCGCTGCTACCTGAGCCTCTCTTCCCACAGACCTGCTGCTGTTAACCGGCCTGGCCTCGTCTGTCTTTGTTCTGTCGGAGCTGCTCAAGCTGTGTGAAAAGTTCTGCTCTGGAGCCAGGACCACCCAGATGCTCCCAGAGGCCGTGTAAAGGATCCACTGTGTCACAGCCCTGAGTGACCTGTGTCCGTGGGTGCCTGTGGTCTGTCCACTCCAAGGGGAAGATTTTAGGACCACACAGAATCAGGACCCTGGCTCCGCATGTCCCCCTGTCCTGCTGGGATGCACAGGACGGGATGGAGCTTACTAAAACATGGCACTATTTATTAAACCACCGTGTTTTTTATTTAACCTGTCTCTCTGCTTGAGCAATGCAGCCCCATGTGATGGCACAGGGCTCCACAGCCACCAGGAATATGGCCACTCTACCCACAGCCATCTCCTTCAAGGCCTTGCTTCCTCATCTAGGATGAGGGCTCAGGGACAGTTCTCTAAAGAGCTCTGACTCATGGTTTGGAGTTGAATCCCCAGTGTTCAAAAACAAAACTCCACAAATATGATTTATGTAAAATCTGATTAAAAACAAGCGGTGCTGTCACCGAGGGGGGATAGGACATTAGTCATCTAAAAAGCCGAAACTCCACAAAGCAGCTCCCTTACACACTCGCTGTGAATGAAGAACACAGATGCCTTGTGTTTACAAAGCTCTCACGCCACGACGCCAAAATAAAACCGTGAAGTTTTTTCAGAATTCCACGTGCACTTCTGACAGGGACGCCTCATAAACACCAGCACACGTGGAAGCTCCCTCCCCTGCAATAAACTGATACCTCAAAAGCACATTCTGGCTTCATGCCTCATGGAGAAAGACCAGAGCGTCCCCGTGAGGAGGAGGAGGGCGTGGTGGAGGTGTCAGTGTCACGGAGCTGGGCACACACCTCACAAGGATCGCAGTTCAAGGCCAGCCTGGGAACTCAGTGGTACTCAAGATCCCACTGCCTCTGCCTCTGAGTAAAAAGGGCTGGGGCTTGGCACCAAAGTATCTGCAGTCCGACACTGAAAGCCATAAAGGAATCACGGCACAAGTATGATAATGCCACCAGAGGAGCAATGCCTCAAGACAATCTACAAATGAACAACAACAAAAAAAAAAACACTGTGGCCGCCGCCAGAGGGAGCTGGGACCTGCAGTGTAGCACTGCTAACTGGCAGCAGGGGCTCTCTGGTCTCTCCACACTTCCCACTCAAGAGGTGAAGCCCAAGCTCTTATGTCTCAGAAAGCTGACAGGTGATTCTGAGTCACTAATATAGCTGAGGGTCATGATATAAAAGGATTCAGCAAGCATCAGGGACAAATCTCACACACGTATGCCTGTGTGTGCTCAAGTATACTCACAGGCATATGTCACACATGCACAAGTGAAGTGTACCTGCAAGTCTGCACCTTCATAT